TGTAATATCATCCAATTACTATGAATCGACATTCAGAAGTGAACAAACAATACAGCAATCATCCGCATTATGCCATCGGATTTAAATCGATTCGAAAATGTATTGCTTTGTTGAAAGCATGAATTCTTGTCTTATTTCATGACCAAAAGTTTCTACCCGCTTTAGAAGCACTAATCCAAGTGCTTATTTCATTACCTTCACTGTCAGATTTGGAAAGCAAAGGACGTACTTCAAACCTAACAGCAGTGACTTCTATATCCATACATCCAATAGTCGGGGCAAAGCTTAATCTAAAGAATACAAAAAAAAAAAAAAAAAAAAAAAAAAGCAGAAGCGAATGATTACGCGTAGCCATTGCTTCAGAAACAGGTGAACTACGTTGGAAATTTACTATTATTTCATTTAGTACGGGACTTCCGTTCAACTATGTTCATAGTTTTACAATCACTTGTTGTTTATTTTTGTAGATGTATGTACCTGGAAGAAACATACCTTATCTCGCTTTTGCTTCAGTCTCGAAGGAATTAAAAAAAAAATAAGCAGCTAATTATATTAAAAGTGAGTTTTCTTCCGTAAAAGTTTCCAGAGATCAAAATCCGACCTCCTAAAATTGAAATATGTTTCGTTAGTAAAATCCGCTGTAACTTCAAAGAGAGTTACGACCAAACTTCAAATATAGTGATACTCTGCTTTCATATTTTAACACTTTTTAGTGATTTCACTTCAAATACTTCGATCAAAAGTCTTCTTCAGAGTTTGGTGATAAGGGACGATAAATACAAGACTTTCGGACTGCGTCTTCAATAGGACATCTAGGATCTCTCTTAAAACTTGATTAACTCGATGTATCACAAACCTCAGTTCGGATCTGGAAGCACATAGCTCAGGTATCTTTTACCATAATGCACAAAATTTTGCATATATTAAATTTTCAGCCTATGATTTTACGGTATATTGCTTAAACAAAAAAAATGGATGTGAAAACTACATGATTTCATCATACGGCCTATCAAATTATACACATTTTTGGTTGCACTACATTTACAGTTATTTCCTTGAATTATTAACTAAATTAACCGATCATTCAAGGTAAGTTAAGAAATTATATCAAAAACTGCAAATTTTGAAATTAAATATACAGGTCAAGTTTTGCCATATGGAAATCAAACGTCTTGTACTTTTATTTTTTCATAACGAATATAAGTATAGGAACCGGGAAATCGCCTTGAAGTTAAATTTTTAAATTTCGTTATTTGTCGAATATTAATTTCTTTTTAAATTTGACATTTTCAAAACATGAATATTTTGGTCATTTAAAACACTTCTTTCTGTAGTTGGAAGTATATGACTACGACACACGATTGCGAAAATAAAGACAGGGTAAGAGGTGGGTATATATATATGCCAAACGCAATAAGAATGGCAGCTTCACAACTAGATGCACTAGATGGCATTAGCAGTCCCATATACAAAATTCCAACATTATATGACGAATCGTTTCGAGTTATGCAAGATATATACATACATACAAGCGTATGTACAGCCATCACGAAAAACATTTCTTTTGAATCCAGTTTACAAATCGTTTTGGGTCCTTAATTCTGTCCACACGTACAGACATCACGCAAAACAATCGTTCAAATGGATTCAGAAGGCTCACCAGTAGACGAGTACTAAAAGCCGCTGAACACTGGTAATTTGGTCCGTAATTCAAGTCACATGGAACAGGCTGGCTGCAGGGGTATTTTCGGTCTTTTCCCTAAGTGTAACATGGTTATAAGCCAGTTTCCCTTAGAAAATCATCCACGGAGCATCCTCCCTAGCTGTGTAGTGCCTAACGGCGAAACACGTAATAATTTAAAGAAAAATGGATTTGTAAACGGTCAAAATGAATATTTCCCTTGAAATATAATACCCGAAATTTTTCGCGTTTACAATACTTCCTTTACTTCGCGTAAGAAAGTAAAAAAGGTCTTCTATCCTCAAATATTTCTTTTACCTTTATCTGCTTCAATAGCAAAAATAAAGTATATTAAAGAGGTATAATAAAAGGCTATAACTAAGAACCCAGAAGAATAAAATAAACCAATATCTTACGCATCTTTGTCAAACAAACCAACAAAAAATTAAAAAATTATCAATGCATTCCGTGTTTCTAAACCTGATCGATTAATTAAGTTCAACAAATATTATGACGCACTCCCTTAAAATACTGTTTGAAATTTTTGTACACAAAAGCGTTTTGAAGTTTTGAAGCTGACCGTTTTAATTTTTTATGTGTATTATTTCATGCAGATAGCCGCCCTTCTGTGGTTTCCCATACGCAGTTAATCTAGTCTAACCTTTTTTTTTTTTTTTTTTTTTCAATTGTCATTAGAAACAGCCTTAGCGGAGTCTTTTCTATATTTTGCAAATATAAAATTAAAATCATAACCACATTTAACACAATATTTAAAAATTAATGCTTGAAATAATTGCATTAGATTAATTCCGTTGAAACAAAGCATGCGAATGCTGCGAGAGGAGAAATGGCTAACATTTACACTACATATGACGTAAATCACAGTAAAATGCCCAAAAAAGCTCTTTTCGCAAAAGCTGAAGTTACCGGTTGGACACCGGTCCAACACTTATAACTTTCCGGCTATCCGTGAGTTTCAGAACAATTAGCTTGTTTTAGTTTAGTGAAAGGATAGTCTATACAAGTATTAATTAACATTTCAGTTTCCCTGAAAATTTATTTAAATCATTTTTCAAGTACCTAATTCGTATTTTGATAATTTATATTAGAAATAGTTTTAATAGCTGTTCTTTAGTAACCTGGCAATGGATTTTAAGGTGTTAGGTATCTTTAAATATTTTTAATTGGAAATTTTTTCTTTTATATCTAAATTTAATTTTTTGAATAATTTTATAACCATCTCCCATGTAAAAAATTCGCTCTGAAACACAAGTTATGATAAAAATAATTTTAAGCTTTGAATTCAAAAGGTCAGATGGTTTGTTTTCATTTACATTTCAGCAAATTCCACGTATTAAAGGTTTCAAATATATAGAAAATATTTCTGTATACGATTTTTTATTACTATCAAATTTCTTATGTTTATTCTAATACTACCAAATTATTAATTTAAGTTTCTATTATAGTTCTATACTTTCACAAATAATGGAAAAGTTCACTTATTAGCATATCTGTGAAAAAATTGTATTAATTTTAAGAAATTAATCCAAGGTAATTTATTTCTCAGTTAACATTTCATACAAAAGTTATTTTCCTGCTTGCGTTCATGATTTCTCTGAACTGGCTGATTAGACTTTCAAGAATTGTGTAAACACTACATCTGTATAAAATGACCAATTATTAGATTTCTGTGATAAGAACTTTTAGATCTATGATTAGATTTGAAATCGTACGACACTTCTACTCATCACTTTTCATTGTGTCAAGTAAAATTATGATTACTATGTGCACAGTATTGTTTAAATATATAATAACGCATACTTACAAGTTTTAACTGATAATTTTATTTTTATCTTTTTTATGAATATTGAAAAATAATATGTATTTTCAGAATTTGAAGATAATTAGACCTTTAAGTTAAGATGGCTCCCGAAAGTATAAGTTTCTTGCTTGCGCGCATTATTTATTTGAAAAACGTTCGTCAGAATTTCGTAAGTTTTCACTAATAAAAGGGGGGGGGAAATACGCGGTGTAAAATGACCAATTATTATACTTCTCGCATAAAAACTGTATAAATTCAGTTCAGTTTTATGCTAAGAAATAGTCGATTTTATTCTAAACTAAGCTATTTTATTTTGCAAGATAATATTATCCGATTATCATAATTTTTTTAAAAAGGTCGGTTTAATTATACATTACTTTTTTAGTTGAAAAAAAAACTATTAAAAATAGTGATCTGTGTATCCTTAATGCCGCGCGCAGGACGTATTACAGTTTAATGTCCATAACAAAGAAGGTATTTTATTTTTATTTTAATTATTTTAATATATATTACATAAAGTAAAAGATAAGGGTATCGAAAATGTATACGAAATTTCCTGATTGCAACCCATTTAATTATACAGCTACTAAGTTTTAAAAATTTTATTATGTTTTTGAAGGTTCATGTTAGTGGTTACCTTCTAATTAAGTCTATTTTATTCTTCTTGCTAAAATGACCTACATGTTTATAAAATCCAAATCAGAAACTTAATTAGTATGTTATGAAATGCGTTTCCTATGTTTTAAGAAGCTATTGAAACATAAAAATATGTACTGCAGCAGCTTTCATTAAAAATCATATTTTCACTTTAACCACTAGGAACTTATGGAAATCACTGCCTGACGTAATCGAATGCGCTAACAGACATTTCTTAGACTGGATTGCATATATAAACATAAACATAAACATTTATCTGTAACTTAGTTTTTAAGCAGAAGCTTAGGTTTAATTTCAAGTAATGTTTTTGTTCGGCGATGAACTCTTTACCCTAATAAATCTTCCTTGGATGCTTTTAAGTGAACTCGTTACGTTGGCGTTTTGTGATTTGCGTAAGTAGTTTAATATTTTAATAAGTGTATTGCTTTGGTTTCCTAATTAAAAGGTTTTTAATATATGTTTGTTTACTGAAGCTCAAACTAAAATCAACACATTTTAATTAAATTATCACTGTATTATTCTTTTCAATTATAATCTAATAACTTTCCTTAGTAGCCGTAGGTAAGATTTCTAAAATAAGATTTAAGCTATTAGCCCTCCCCACCCCGGAACGAACGGGCTGGCTGCATGGGTGTTTTCGTGGTTTTTCCCATGTGTAATGTGTATACGAGCCAGTTTTCCTTAGAAAGTCCTCCACGGAGGATTCCGTCCATTTAGACAGATAACCCTTTACCTCGGCGATAACCTTTACCTCGCAGATAACCTTTACCTCGGCAGATAACCTTTACCTCGGCAGATAACCTTTACCGTAATCTAATAAACCAAGCCCACCCCCTCGAAAAAAAGATAAAAACTTCAGACAGTTTCTGGAATGACTTAAACTTTCAATTACTAACTATTCTGGTAAGTAAAATTAGTAAAGGAGCAACTTTGTATCTGGCGTAGATTTTAGTCGAGACTATCGATTGCGAATATACACAGGTAGAAGACTATCTTAATCAGGTGCAAACTCAAGCTCAACTCAAGGTTGTACTTTACTGATTTTTACTTTGGCGTGTTTCTCTTAACTATTCTGATAAATATTTTCTTCAATCGTTTATTTTTTTACAGTTAAAATGAGAGTTCCACGACAATCTCAGATAACAGATGAAACAGTAGAGGATCACCGTGAGGAAATTGAGAAAGCTAAGAGTGACAACGCGGAATCGAGACTTCATGCTGAGGTTAGTAATCGGGACGGCTGACGATTTTCTAGGTAGTATGGTTTGCAGTTTCATGCTCTTTTTAATGAAATTTTCAGCATAATTACGTATAGTGTGGTAACTAGTCAATCTTTCCGGAGTATATGCGAAATGTTTGATTTTGAAAGATTTTTTAGCAAAAACGAAATTTCATCATATAGTGGCTATAGAAAGTTACCGGCCTACGCATTAAATGTTCAACTGAAATCATGCTAATGCTTACTGTAATTTTGATCCTTTTCCTCAACAGTATCTTCCAATTGAACAACTTTAAACCAATTGCATTACACATAAGCACACTTTAAGTCTCACAAAACTTAATTGGTACAAATGTATCGAAGCATCCTTTTCTGCAACCGCTTATGCCTTGGCATATCGGTGAGCAGCACAGCACATAAAGCGTTGTCAAAAGTTACATATAGATCTATAAACTATACTTAAATGAACAAGCAAGAGTTTTTAAACAGGTATAAAAAAGTTTAAACTCATGATTTATGCAGTTTAAATACTTAACCGTATACTGAAATACTTTTCCCAAAGCTTACTGGGTAACAATCCGCTGTTTGAAAGCTTTAGTTGTTGCTATAATCAGTTATCGAACATCATGAAGTTTAATTTGCAGGGTTTCATAATTAATGATTATAGGTAATATTAAACATTCATTGTCGTTCTAAGAGAAGTTGGGTCATCCAGCCGCAGAGCGACTAAGGTGGCTGAATATTAGTAGTTCGACCTGGGTTCGATTCTAGGCAAACTGGCTGGCTACATGAGCGTTTTTGTGGTTTTCCCCATATGTAACGTGGATACGAGTCAATTTCCCTTAGAAGGCAAAGGAAGGAACTTCCCTTAGAAAGTCCCTTAAGCAGATGGTTCTCGCGTGCTTTACCATAATTAAATAAACCAAGCCATACCAATCGAAGCGAAGTTATTCCTAGTGGTATCGATGTCATTATCTGGAAAACTGCTGAGAATTCAGTTGGGTAATGTTATCTGTATTATTAAAGTTTATTTCAAACTAATTACATCGTTTGAATCTTTCGTCATTCTCGTTAGTCAATTATGAAAAATTCTCGGTGTGTTTACGAACTTGTGTTTACGAACAATACAAAGAAATTTTAAGGCATCAAGAATGCCGTCTCTATACAGCAAAGCAAATCTAGTTTCGATTATTTGTTACGTAAAAGCTGACGTAATATTTCATTTCATGTACTAATATTCCGCTAATTTCCATGATTACAGTTTCACTATGCATAACTATTTGAATTCTAGGGTTTAATCCTAGTATCTGGTGCACACGGAATTTGGCTACTTTTGGCGACTTTATGATGAGCAGTAAAAACGGGACATATACGATGAGTAGTTAACGGGTCATTCAAAGAAAATATAGTTAAACTGGTATATACTCGTACTATGTATAGAGTATATATATAGAGATAGAGAGACGTTCTTCGGATCATTTTTGGTGTTGGCAATAATTTTCGCGCCAAGGCTGCACCGTATACTAGGATTTTACCGAATTCTAGATTTATTTTCCGTTCAGGTATTCAGGACATCTATTTTGTTCCGAGCTCCTACCTATCTCATGGCATATCAGTTGTCTCGAATTAAAGTTAAAATTGATCATTTCCCGCATGCGAGCGACTTTTGTACAAATATATATTTTGTAAATCTTCCAAGTTATGTAATAGTTTTAATTTTTTAGGGAATCTTAGCACTCACGAATTCGTGCGGAGTTTCTTAATGCCCTAGTCACTTGACATTTGCACAAAAAAAAATCAATTCCACCCCTACTATATCCTCAAATTTACTTTAACAACATCTGAGAAACATGGAACCCTCATTATCATGAAAACATAAACATGAAATTCTAAATGGTTAAATTTGAAGTGTGGTATGGGGCTTTTCAAACTTCAGACGTGATCACAGAAGATCGTAGATTTTTAAGTGGTGCTGGAGATCAGTGATTTAAAATTTTCACCTTCGTCCTTGTGATAAGTCCTGAAATACGAATTAAGACCATAAATAATGAACTGAATTTTCTAGGCTATTACAGAAAGTGCAGTTGGAAACTTCCCTAAGAATTTATGGAATCGAGCCTATCATCACCTCCACGTGGGAATGGATTTGTTTCAAGAGTTTCATAAAAGAACTGTGCCACCTCTTCCAGGTATTTTTGGCTCAAATAAAATGAAATTCTTTGGATTCTGTAAACAAATTGTAGAGTTAAATTTCTGAATTTTAGGTATACCTCCTATCTATGCAATAGAAAATCCGCACGAACTTTCAATAAGAAAGCGGGCCTTCTGCATGAACGTGAATCTCGCGTATCGAATTCTCACGTATCTGAAGATCTACTCTTACCTTTCGTTGATGAAGTTCTGTAAGATAGTTCAAGGTACTTACGTGCTAAGTCATTTTATTCTTATTAAAAGTGTAAATTAAAGCAAATATCCCGAAATTTTGATTGAAGCACTGTCATTACATTTCAATCCTTCGTATTTTCAGATCGCCTGGGAATTCAAAGATGTAGCCTACAAATTTCAAATGAATCCCTGTCATTACATTTCGGTCCTTTTAATCTTAACATCGAGTGGAAGCTACAAAAGGGGCTAACTCAGACAGCTGAGGATCCTCCTCGTAACTGAAGAAACCTAAGACTCCGTAATAGGTAAAAAGCATTGGAAATTTAGGAAATATTGTACTCTTTTTAAGTTACAGATGTCTGCTATTAAAAGTGAATATTCAAGCTTTGTTTTCTGTATATAAAACAATAAAATCTAACGAATTGTTCAGAACTGTCTTTAAGCTAAATCACTTAAGCTAATATCAAGAACACGAAACGAAAGCTAAAGTGTTGGCATTTTCCAGAATTTAGTACGTTTCCATTTTTGTCAACTATTACCAACTATATATTTGCCGTCAGTATTTCTACTTGCGGCAAGGTTCATGCTAATAGCTCTCTCCATGTTGATCAAAGCTGTTCTCCTCCCCATTTGAGTTAATAACAAACTTGGTTTCGTACATTTTAGTGTTCACTGTAGGTATGAATGCAGAAGTTTATAATTTTCATGTGCTTAGATACATCTTACAACTCTAATTGCAACTACATAAGGCAGAGTCTGCCGAGAAGAAACGATTTTAAGAAAACAAAATATGAAAATGTAATATCACTGGCGATAATTCATTACTTAATGCATATAGTATTCCTTCACCTTAAGCTAATAACTGGATTTCTAAAGTCAGCGTAAGACAACAAATCTTTCTCGTTTAAAAAAAAAAGTTTAATATTGCATAATACTAAAAAATTTTGCAAGTGTAGGCCCAAAAGGCAATTCTCAGTAGCGATTAACTTATCCTAGAACTGACTCATCTTTGTTCTAAGCGTAGGTGGTGCGAGTCTCGGCAACGTACGCCTTTTCCTGTTGCATCTATTTCCAAAGCATACACTGACTATTTCATGGGCGTCTTCCTGTACACGCCACTTCTGATTAAGAATATACTTCTGTGTATATATGAAACGCACAAACATTTTAATCAGTATGGTTAAATATATTAACCTTAATTTTATAACTTGCTTTTCATTTGACACTAACGAAAACAAGTCATTTGTAGCTAATGGGCAAAACTGAAAAAAAGCTAATCTAACACATATTCGAATTTCGATATAAGAATTTTTCAACGAAACAATTTAATGTATAAAACCATTGTTTGAAATAAAACTCAACATCTGATCCTTGCTCTATGAAACGTTTGAATGTTGGTTTTCGTACTTGTGTTCTCTGGAAATTTTGCAAAGATATTTTCATAATTTTATGGCTAAGACGGAATAAAGTAATAGATACCGCCTTTTAAATACGAATCTTGTAATTTACTCTTAATTAATGTTAAAACGAGAATTTAGTGAGCTCCATCTAAAACGTGCATGCCAGATTAGTCTCTATGCTTCGGTTACTTTACCAGAGTATGGCAAAGCCTCGATGGCTATCTACCTAGAAATTTTGGGGAAAATAGCTCGTATTCACGTTATACATTGGGAAAACCAATCATACAGTCAGCCGTTTCGCCTGAATTCAAACCTAAACCAGGCCAAACTACCAGTATTCAGTGGTCTTTAACCATTCAGCCATTGGTGGGGCTTCCTCTGCTTCGGATGCCTTGCCATGTCTAATCCTCGAACTTTCAGTTAAGGTTGATTTCCTTACATAGTATTCCGTATCGCTAAATACATTTGCTACTATGCTTATTTTCGAAATTTTATGAAGCTATTTTGTCCATGTATTTCGTGGAAGATTGGTTGCCAGAGCCTCAAGGAGGTATTTCATGAAGGCTTTTCTCTACTTAAAATCCTTAATTCTGGGTTCATGATGCTTCATTTTAAGAACGTGAATGAACAATTATTGCAAAAATCTAAAAAAGTTAAAAATCCAAATTCGCTGCAAGCGTCATTAGACTAGTTTATTAAATTTATTAATGCCCGATTTTCGAACGTCCTTCATGCATGAAAATGAAGTTGCTGCACTTCATTAAATTCTAATTCTGCGTCACAGACGTGTCAAATTCCATGTCTCTTGTCTGCGCAAGAATGAAAACGCTGCTGTAAGTTTGTTCAAATTATGAAAGGCCAGGTTTGGGAAGATGTCCACCTGTGTATAACCGCTGAATACTGGTTGTTCGACCCGGTTTCGAAGTCTGGGGAATTAAAACACTCCATGGAAACGTGGATATTAGTTTCCTTCACTATCCTCCGCGAAGGCATTTTCTTATTCGTTAATGTACACGAGTTAACTGCATAATAAATAAGCCAGTTCTTTCAAAATTCTCCTAAGGCGGATATTGTTAAATTTTTTAAAATATCACAAATTTTCAAATTCTGAAGTATTTAACCCCGTTGATTTGGGACTTAATTGCACTTGTTTACTATCTTGAATTTCGTACTTTTAACTTGACAGTTAATTTCGTTCTCCATCAATAGTAAGAATGAAATAAATTTACGTAATAGTTCTTAGATTTGCTATAAAAGTTGAGTTCATTCAGTGGCTGATTCACTTCTTGTTAGCCACGCAGCTACAGCTAGCTGTATAGGTGTTACGTGGTTTCTCACTGTGTAACACAAAGACTAGCTAATTACCAATTAAGAGAAGACCTATGGCAGTTGAGGGGGCTGTGGTTAAACATCAACCGAGAGCGTAATCCATTGAAACCCTTCCTCAGAAGTAGCATCCTAGTCTGGGTAATGAACTTGGTCTATTAATCTTATTTTAATGTATTTTACCATAAACTAATTGGGATTCTTAAACCTTCTCAAAAGTATTTCTCTGTTCCGATATCCTTGGAGTTCTATGCCTTAATAAAATTTTCCAAGGTACCACAAGTAAATAATCATGGAAATGAAATTTGCGTTTCACTGAATAAAATTATGAAGGATCAACGAGCGTCGGAGCGCTGCATATTTTAAGATAATACGGCTGAGCTAAAAGCTATAGAGCTCTATATTAAGTACGATGAAATTCTATAACTGCTTTCAATGTAGCACAAGAAGTTCCAAGCCATGCGTAGCCTTTCCATACCCACTTCATTCGCGTAGTTATCTTTTCTTGATTGAAATCTCCGACATTTCTTAAAATCTGCATAATGTGAAATGAGGAAATTCGTAATTTGTTGAAGCTGAATCTATGATATCCAGCAATCCTCAAGAAATCGTGCAAATTATTCGCTGTTCAATTAAGTAAATCATGTTGGTCGGAAACGATCGGTCGGAAAGGACTTTTGTTAAAATCTGCATTTTTGCTGGCTTTTGACTACGTAACAAATACTTGTATATTATGTAGGAACAGGCTGAGTGAATAAATTGAGAAGTTTTTCGCATTTCTAACTTAAATCAGACAATTTTCTGGATGAAGAATAAACCTTCCTCGCGCTCTCCCCAGGAAGGCATGGTAGACACAACACTGGTATACTCTTGGGTTCAGGTTCGAAATCTCTGAACTTGTTATTTCCCAAACGCGCACTAGAACTGCGTTTCGGATCTGACTTCCAGCAACTAAATAGACTGGCTGCATGATATTTTCGATATCTCTATGTGCAAGGTGTTCAAGTCCGTTACCATAAGAAATTCTTTCGTGAAGACATTTCTCTGCAGATATCTTTATTCGTGGATCCCTGGACACGTTGCCATTAAGGGGAATGAATTGGCGGATATTGCAGCTAAAACTGCAACCACAATGTACAATCTTCAGATTCCACTAGCAGACACCAAAGGGTTTGTCAAAAGCAAAATTCTCAGCAAATGGCAGAAGCAATGGGATGACAAAGTATATAACAAGCTGAGAAATGTAAAACCCACCATTGGATACTGGCCATGTATGGCTAATAGAAGGGAGGATGTCCTCTTGACTCGACTGAGAATTGGCCATTGTCGCCTGACCCATGATTATCATCTGAAGGGAGAAGAGAATCCCAGCTGCCCAAACTGCAGTGCAGACCTGACAGTCCATCACATCTTGGTGGAATGCCAGAGTTTTAATTATTTTCGCCAAAAACATTTTAATTGTTCAGAACTGGACTTAGGAAATTTAATTGGAAAAACACATCATCGTAATTTGTTTTAAAAGATATTGGCTTTTATAATAGACTTTAACCTGTTTTTAAAAGATATCAGCTTTTATCATAGATTGTAATCTGTCTCTTTTTACCTAAGCTGGAATTTTTACAAATGACTAATTGCATTGTTACCATTTGTCTGGCGCAGATAACCTTGACAGGTTTTGTGCCAAATTACAATAATCCAATCCAATCCTAGCTGCAAATAGCCCTCAGTGCTTCGCAATAAGTAACCGACCTAACCTGAAATCATTGATAAAACATAATTGTCTTAGAGCGTATCCTTTGCAAAACATATTTGCATTTAAAATCTCTATATCGGCAATTTCTCGTGAAATGCTGAAGTCGGGAAAAGTAAGATACTCGGAATTCATCTCATGGAATTCTATCACCTTGAACAATCCACTTGGAAGATCATAAAGTATTTTAACTGAATATGGTGACGTACATAATCTTACCTGCTAAAGAAAGAGATGCCCGTGGAGGACTTTCAAGGGGAAACTGGCTCGTATCTACATTTCACATGCGAAAACCACGGAAACGCCCATGTAACCAACACTTTTGCTGAGATTCGAGCCCCGGGTCGAACTACCAGTGTTGAGCCACTTTACCGCTCGCCTGCTGGTAGGGCCCATATTAATGTTGAAATCGTGAACTGAGAGGATTTCCTTGTCGGAAAAGTTGGTCACTAACTAAAACAAATTGCTTAAACTTTGATTTTTATAGAATAGATCTAAATTATCTACAAGGATAGTCTGCTGGCCTTAAAATCTAAAATTTTCTCCAAATATATCGAAATCTACTCATCTAGGAATACAGAACAGTAAAATCTATTTTGACTTTATTTCCAAAAATTTCAATATTTTATCTAAAAGCTTAATTTGTCATTATGCACTTAAAACTAATTCGTAAGGAAAATGCGTTTCTATTTTAAGTTACTGTGCATTTATTTAGAGCTAAACTATGTGCCTTTTACTTTTTACATCTTCGTTCATTATTTCATATTTCATTGCGTGAATCGATTAACTTGGCGACTTGGATATTTTGAAAATTGCGTTTTGAAAGTTGCAGATAGTGCTATATTGTCAGATGTCTCTTAGATTTTAACTGCCTATTTATAGAATATTATCAGCTAGTTTTCTTTACTATTTTGAATTTCTGGATGAGTAGATATGTTTTCAGAAAAAATTAA